GAAATATAGTAGCAACGTCGTCGAAAAATGCCTTCTATTTGCATATGGAGGACAACTTCCTAAGATTATGCATGAGTTGATCAATGATCCACAATTTGGTAAAATCATGCAGGACCCATATGGCAATTATGTAATTCAAACGGCATTGGGTAATACAGAGGTTAGGGCCAAGATTTCCCTTTTCTTTTTGTTAATTGTGTTCATATATGAAGAATGTGTGATGCCTTCTATTGTCAAACGGTGCTCGTAACTTTTCAAATTTGGAAACGTTACTATAAAAGTCATCTTAATGAAATAAAAACTATGTATTCCACGTTTCAACGTCATGACAACTATAATTTAGGGAATTTTGCTGAGTAGGTTAGCATAGTTCAACTGGTTCAAGCATATACCTTCAGGGAAGAGGTTAGAGATTCAATTCTCCTAACCCCATGTGTCGTTTAACTTAAAATGGTTGGGGACCATGGAAGGATTACTCTTTGCTTCGCCCCATTTTCGAATCACACTAGCAAAATTTTCTTAGAAGATACGCTTTGTTTGACTGACTGACTCATTGACCCTGAACAACCTTTCTAGTCAAAGATCCTAATGCTTGGGTGCTACGGAAACTCGAATGTAAAATGTCAAAATTTCTCTTATATTATATCGTCCAACTGTTTTCGCACTTTTCTAATGCAAAGGAAGGCTTTTGGAAAACTGATCTCTAATGTAATTAGATGAATGTTTGTTTGTCTGCCATGCAGGGTAATCTTCATACTAAATTGGTCGAAGCGATAAGGCCACATATTCCCGTACTCAGGACGAGTCCATACGGAAAGAAAGTCCTTGCAGTATTTGGAAAATGCAACTAACCGTTTACTCGAGCGCTTCTAGTCATCGTTTCATCTTGGTAAGAAAGCATAGCAATTATTTTCCTTCAGTACTTTCTTTTAGTAAAGAATTTAGGCCAGGTCTATCTGGAAACAAACTTATCATGGGTGAAGACATATTCATATCTTCCCTAATCGTCGTTTTGGATAAGAGTTTAGGTTGGTCGTTTGGCTCGTTCATTGGCCGTGTTGTTTTTCTTGCTTTTTTTTTCTTGTTTATTCGGCATAGTAAATAAATTGGTGAAGGTATAGAAGAGGGTATATGCAGTGTTGTACATTTGTTGGGATTCTGTTTCTGAAGCTCATTGCATGTAGAAGAAGAGTAAATGTGTGAGATATGAGAGGGGCTTGCTTTGTATCATGCTACTGCTGCTTCTGCTGCTATCTTTTTTGGTTGGGCCGTGTAATTATCACTCCTGTGAATTTATTGCAATTTGGGCTCTGTTTATTTCTGTTTATTGTTCTGTCTCTTGCTTTTTTCGAACGTTTAGATATCTATTAGACTCTATTAGACGTATTTAAAAGTTTGAGGACCAAATAGATACATTTAGCGGAGTTTAGGGATTGAACTTCTGCTGTCCCTGCATAAGGAACATCCACACTATTCACTAAGACGGTCTCTAGGACGGCTACCGTTCAAGGAAATGAAAAAAGGAAAGCTCTTTAAAGAGGGTTGAGTGAATAGGCTTGCTATTAGCGGATACCGCTCCTCTTCAAAGCCTCCCTTCTCTGTACTACAACTTTTTCGAATAGCTCCATCCCTCTCTTCTCCTCTTTGGACTCTTAGAACTCGACTTTGGATTGCTGCCATTGGGAAAGAGTTGTCCACTCTTCTCCTGATTCTCGCTCGAGGATGGTTGTCTGTCTCGATCTTTACTCTCTTGCTTTTAGGATCCGTTGCAGGCATTGATGCCACTTTTCAGCCTTAGAAGCTTGATGTTACTCGACCCCTCTTTGAAGTTCGTTGAGCGCAGAGTCTCAGGAGTCGGGTTTGGTAATCCAAGTTGGTTTTTCTTAATCCAAGTTCAGTCGTTCAAATCCTCCACTGTATCGTCTGCCATACCTTCAATATCTTAGATAATCCTTAAAATTTTCTCCTATATAAAATCATCCAATCCTTATCCACAAGTTGAAACGAGCGAGAAAACGTGCCAAATTCAGCCTATTATCCGCTTGTAAGTTGTTATCCTCATTGTACGACCAAAGCCGATAAAAGGGTTCGTGTTTTTTTGTAGAAACATTTGAAAAGAATACGTCGATCCGTCCAAAGATGAAAACATACGTAACTCACCAGAACGTTCATCTTGAACTAGAAAAACTCACAAACCGACCGAATTCAAACATATATTAGTGATCATAACCCCGCAAACATCAAAACACAAATCAAACAACGTTCTTCCATGATTTTTATCTTATAAACTACATAGTAGTTTCATTCTTCCAGCTTATATCATTCAAACTGGCACTCTTTATACAGCTCACGTCCTGTCGGATTAGAACAATAATCATAGTACACATATGTTCTCTTCACATCCTCGTACAGTTCTTGTTGTCTAGGATTTAGCTGCCATTGTCGACCACTGTTCCATTCCAAGGCCTCCGAATCACAGCGGTTTCCAAATGGGCAGCCAAGAATGACAAAGCCTTTATAATTTGCTTGAAAAGGTGCCTGAGACCAATCCACTTTCTTGCCTCCTGATGCCCACGCTTCGCCATTCCAAATGCTTCCCATCACAACCATTGCTTGCGATGGGTATCTGCCCCCAATGGATGTGTGGTTTTTAAACACTCTTATGGGGATTTCATCTACAAAGAACCTGAAATTTTCATCATAAATACTCGATAGTTGGAGGGTTTTTGTATAATAAATGATTGGTTTTGTTAAATTTGTGTTCATAGTTGATGGGTTTTGAGGGAACTTACACAATTTGATGGGAGTTCCAAAGGATTGAATAGCTATGAAAAGTTAAGGTTGGATCGAACCATAAACGAAGTCTTTGCTCTCTTCCTCCAGTGTCGTTGGCAAAAATGTTAGTTTGTAGGATATGTTCGGGTCCTTCCGTGCCCAAGAACTCGAAATCAAGCTCATCGTGAGCTCCTGTATCGTTGTCTAGATTTGAATGTAGCTGTATTTCATCGTATCATAATTATTTCAATATGCATGATAACTCGAGATGTTCAAAGTCGGGACGAAGACAAGGGAAGCTTTTGAATTTATAATATAGTTGTGTGCCTTAGTTTTGATGCATATAGATATAGATATATTTATATATAGAAAGTGAGACAGGCCGAGATGAGGACGAGGAATATAATCTCCATCCCTGACCCCGTTTTGCTTACGGGAAGAAATCTCTATCAACTCCCTTATTTTCCACCCCGTTTGAGGCAGGTCCCTTTGGGTCCCTACTAATAACATTATCTCGAAAAATACGACACAAAATGAACTCTTTCGAAACACGTTCATAGATTAAAAAGAGAATGAATGGACTAAAAAAAACTAAGATCTTACATAAAAAGTTGTGACTACTCCCGGAGAGGCTCTTGATGGAAGCTTTAATTTCATCGGAAAATATCCTGAACCGTACTCGAGCTTCGACTTGAAACAAGTTCCTTTATTTTGTTCAATCAAAATTACACACATTATTCTCTTATAGCATATTATAGAAAAAGTTATTTCTGGTCGTAGTAACGATCAAATTTTAAAGTATATTTTAACTGTAATTTCATATCTATAGGATAGATCTAGGTTAACTCATGTATCACTTATATACTCGAGCATCATTATACGTGCACAAGTAGTAAAATTGATTTTCAAAGAATTAACCATACCATTCTAATGCATTTTGAATTTTTAAAATCAAAGTTAACCTAATCGAAACTTTTAAAACTGAATTGCTTGACATGTTTTCTTGTCAATATCCAACAAAATCGTGTTCCCTATTATCCATTATTGACATATTTCGTGAGAGATTAAAATAAATTATAAGAAAAACGAGAGATTTTCTTTCAATAGAGACCTGAAGCCTGATCAAGAGAGAGTTGAACTTCTGATCCACCCTGTAACCGTACAAAATGATCTTGGCTATAGGTGATAAAGTAGTTCTCATCAAACGTAAGTTCTTCGCCAACAACACGATTCTTCACACGGATCATAATCATAAGAACAAGAAGTGGAGGGAAGAAGGTGATGATACCCAAAAATCCCATAATTCTTGTCTCAGTTGATATCAAAGGTAAAGAAATTGATATACAAATTACAAATCTTCCCTTGCAGCTATTTATAATATAGAACATATTTATGACTCCACCAGCTTACAATTTACTTTCATTGTTCACCATAAATTTAGATGCATGAGTATAAAAATTTGGATTCCAAACAACATGTCAAAAGATCTTTAAATTAATTGGTTACATATTGTTTAAGAGCATAAAATAGCATGAACGCGAAAACTGTATTGACTTGATTTTACGACATGTTCGACAAACAACTCTAGCTACTCGTATTGTATGTCCTTGTCTTTACGCATTTCTTACCAAAATTTATTATCTCGAGATATTAGTTGTTGTATGCCTTAGTTTGTGACTTCAGAGAACCCATTATAACCCATTCTTGATTATAAATTGTGGCTTTGATATGTAGTTTTTCCTCCTATCGTGAGTAGAGATTTTTATTTTATCCACCTCGAACGAGGAGATTCCCCACTTAGATGAGGAATAGGGGAGAAAGTGAGGAACATTTTATCTCATTTAGATAAATGAGGCTGGGAACGAGATTATATTCCCCGTCCTCATTCCAACCCAATTTTCTGTCCTGTTTCATCTGATATAAATATATTTTCAATAATATTAAAAAAAATTACAAAACTAAATGAAAAATAGTTAGTTTTGAAATTTTAATGGTAATATTTAATTTTTAGTATTGATGTATTAGTATTTTCTTTACAATTTTTAATAAAAATTATTGAAAAATAAAAATTTTAAATTAACTATTTAAAAATAATAATAAATGGATAAAAATTACTCGTTAAGAATTTGATCCTGTAATAACTCAGATCCACCGCTAACCGATATTGTATTCTACCTTTCGAGCTTCCCCTTACGGCTTTAAAATGGGCTAGGGGAAGGTTTTGCATGCATTCTGCAGCTTCAACTCTTACATGCATTCTGCAGCTTTCGAGATCCACCGCTGGAGCTATCTCTTACATGCATTCTGCAGCTTCAACTCCCATCTTTCATAGAGATATCAAGTCTCTTAACATTCTTTTGGATAATAATTATAGTGCAAAGGTTTCTGATTTTGGGACTTCCAGATTTGTTTCATGTGATCAATCTCATTTGACTACGAGAGTGCATGGAACTCTTGGATACATTGATCCTGAGTACTTTAGATCAAGTCAGTATACTGAAAAGAGTGATGTATATAGTTTTGGAGTCGTAATGGTAGAGCTTTTAACGGGGAAACATCCTACCATATTTGCAAGAAATGAGGAACGAAATCTATTAGAGGACTTCATTGCATTGGAAAATGGTAAGGAGGTTGTTGGAATTGTGGATAGTGCAATAGCCAAAGATGAAGAAACGATGGAGGGTGTTAACTTGGTGGCAAACCTCACGGCCAAATGTTTAAGAGCAAATGGGAAAGAGAGGCCTACAATGAAACAAGTGTATTTACAACTAGAGGGATTGAGGAAGGCTCAAGCTCAACGTTGTTCAACATCCAATTCATTTTGCTCTATGGCTCTTAGTGATGAAGATCTTCCAAGATGACAACACCCTATTAGGTTCATATTTGACCGTTTACTATAGTCAAATATCTTGTATCATATTTATCCTTTTATGGTGGTTTATTATAGATATTATATTTGACTTTTTATGAGAGACAAATATTTAGGTTACTTCCCTTTTATTATAGGTAAATATCTTGTGTCCTCTTATTACTATCGGCAATCGGGTGTTGAGAAACAACCATAGGGTGTGGACTATAGAGAGGCAAGGTAGAGGCTCAGAATTGTGACCCTATTATGAGAAAATGGCAAGAGACAAAGAGAGAAGGTTCAATGGTGGCTATAAAGAAGAGAGGAAGAAGAGGGCAGAAATTGAGAATGCGGACTTTGGGTGTATTTTAGACGAAGAAATGAAGAGAGGGGCGGAGACGGAATGAGTTATGAGCCTTGTGGATTGATTTGCTATCGAGAAATGAGCACGAGTAAGAATATCTTGAGCATATTTTGTAATTAGAGTTTGCGTTGGTGACTTCGAAGGAGCAGTAGGCAGAGCCGGTGGAGAAGTAGTCGGCGCTATAGCAGGTGGTGAAGTTCCAATGGACGGAGAGAAAGCCACGTCTGCCGTAAGAGTCACCACAGTGGGCTAGGGAGCCGATTTTGGCAAGGAAGCCCTTCTTGGGATGATAAATTTTGCATTCTCCATGTTGTATCAAGATAGATACACTTCTTTCTTGCAATTTTCCAAGACTTAAAAGGTTGTTTTTCAACTCAGGTATATAGAAAACATTAGTGATTACCTGAGTGACTCTAGCAACTTGCAACCTAATGTCACCTTTCCCTAGCACTGCCATCTTGAAATTATTTCCAAGCTTCACATATTGTCGAAATTCCTCATCAAGATCTGAGAACCATTTCTTATTTGCACACATATGATTAGTACATCCCGAATCAAGGAACCAAACATCTTCCCTTCTTGATTGATTGAGCTCAGCATAATTTGCTCCCTTCTCCCACTAAGGACACTCATATCTAGAGTGTCCTAATTGATGACACTTATAACACCTCACTCATATCTTGAGTGTCCTAATTGATGACACTTATAACACTGAACTGTAGTTTTGTTGAATGAATGTCTACCTCTTCCTCTTCCTCTTCCTCTTTCTCTACCTCTACCTCGAAAAGCTTCACGAGCTCGATCACCTCCTCTTCCACCGAATCTAGTATCATATGTCACCTTTAATGCTTGTTCATTACCTACACGTCCATTCAGTCTTTGCTCATGTACCAACAAGCTGCTTTGTAATTCATTGATGGTTAAAGTGTTTAAGTTATTCGACTCTTCAATTGAATATATATCATAGTCAAATCTTGAGGTCATTGATTTCAAGATTTTTTCAATATTCACCGCTTGTTTCATATTTTCGCCATAAATTTTCATCTTGTTTGTAATGGTGAGAGTTCAAGCAAAATATGCACCAACACTCTCACCCTCCTTCATTTGTAAGACTTCAAACTCTTTTCTAAGAGCTTCGAGTTGTGCTCTTTTGACTCTTGTGAACCCTGGTACTTTTGCTTCATAGAGTCCCAAATTTGTTTGACAGTATCTCTATTAAGGATCGTTTTCAAATAGCTCGATCAATGACTTTGAACAAATAATTTTAACCTTCAAGTCTTTCAGCTTCTGGTATGCAATTGTCTTTATTGTGCTTCGGTAATCTCCACTCCTTCTGCTGCGGTAGGACTTTCGATCTCCATCAAAGACCAATATTCCATCGGCTCCTTTTCCGTAAGTATAGACCAATGATCATAATGGCCATCAAACTTAGGAATTGACAATTGAACGATATTGGTTTCAACTACTATATTTTAAATCTCTTTGAGCTCACTCTTCAAAAAAACAAAATTGCAGTACCAAATGTTGTGAACACACACAAACTAACTCAAAATGAATCTCTGAAATCAATTGCACAACTTGGTTGGCTTTTATAGCCTTGCAAAGATAAAGTTAGCAAACTCACATTTAACAACCCACTAAATAATTGAGTGGTCCTCACCTTCCTAAAGAAATGGACATCCTAAATATATTGTAAAGTTAGCCATTTCAACCCTAAAAGAAATGGTTAGTATGACCATCTTTAACTAGAAGATCGTAGTTTTATAAGTAAGGGAATCCATCTCCATCGAGGCCTTTTGGGGAAACCAAAAGGAAAGGCATAAGAGCAATATCATACCATTGTGGAGGGTCGTTGTTCCTAACATGAGTCATGTTCTTAGTTTAGTCATGTCAATAAAATTCTCAAGTGTCAAACAAACTTTCGTTCGAGCCAGGGAGTAGTCCCACATGGACAATATTATAATATTGTGGAGGGCTAGCACTCCAAAGACGATTTGGACAAGGAATATTTGATGGATGATAAAAGATGATAAAAAATAAAATAGTAATAATCATACAAAAATTGTAAACAAGGCAAGAGAAAGAGACGGACCGAATGCAATGGAGATGATGCTAGCAACAATAACAACAAGATCCAAATGCTGAGATACACAGGCGTCTGAGTTAGATGGGTCGATTTTAAAAGTCTCAGATGTGTTCAACGGAACCAAAAGAGGCGTAAATGGGTAGAGTTGGGTTGTATTGGAAAGCATGTTTGCTTCCAAAATGCTGTCTTGCTCCACCAACAAATCCCTCGCTATTGATGAAATGCTCTCATTTGGTTGTACCATATACACAGCCAATGACTGAATCCCAAGATTCTTCTGATCCTGGGTAGGACAAGCGCATCGCAACCAAACTTCAACACTAATTCCTTCGGTTGAGGAAGCATTAATACCAATAGAACAGCTTGTGAAGCCATCAAAAACATGATTGGCTATTGTTTCAAAACTATCACCACTCGTGGTATTATATTCCGTGATATTCCTATACAAATGATCCTCACCACAGCTACAGCCAACTGCCTTCATCAACAAATTAGTGTTTCCGATTGATTTATCGTAGAAACCCAAGTCTTGATTGTGAGACTTGGATTTTGCAATCAAATAGGAAGAACATGAGGAATAAGGAACATCACATGAATAATATCCATTTGGTGTTGAATTGGTATCGTTGATTGAGCACCCGGATGTCTGGTTTGCAGTGCCTAAATATGGGTATTGGCTGACAGATTGGATGGGAAAGAGGGAAAGGAAGAGGATGAAACACAAACAACAATAGGATGCAAACGAGGCTTCCATGCTTCTTTGATTCTTCCTTCTTCACTTCTATATTTTGTTTCACTTCTATATTCATTCAGCTCTATGGGTCCTAAGGATAGAAACCTCTTGGATTTTATGTTCATATGTGTTGTGATCTCTAAATTATCTTTATTTTTGTGTGGTCTTTCTACGTTGAAATGTCAGTGAATGGTTCAATTTATGAGAGAAGTCCCCTTCAAACTAATCACATCCTATGTATAACTTCTATTATATATAACTAATTATGTACGCCATTGACTTGACTATTTGCTCATATTTGTTTTTGTACTTCCAAATTTGATACAATTTAGTCGAATGTAATCAAAATTTTCTATCGTAAATCATTGTTTACTAAGGTTTATGGTATAAATGATCATAAATTTGGATGAAGTACAAGAACAGGCTACAATCAAATATGAGCATTGGATCCATTGCCAAGGATTTTGGTCAAAGAAAAGGTCATGATCAAAGAAAGATGAATAGATAGAGCCATGACAAAAGAAAGAGAATCTTTCCAAGTACAAAACAAGATAAGACATGGACGCATTTATTTTTTCTATCATCTTAGGTCTCTATCCTATCGAAACAACTCACGTTCTTCCAATCAATTTGACATATCACCCTTCATTTCTCTGTTCTCCTTTTGAAGATTCTACCAAGACTCCACAAAAAAATAAGCTACACACAATGAAGTTAAAGCTTTGATGCATACTTTGTGAAAATTCAATATTATTTAGTGGGACCGCAACTTTGTGTAACACTCGAGTTCAACAGGTATGAATATATTGTGTGTTTTTAATTTTGAGATTTCGGGATTTATTAAAGCCTTAAAGATGAAGCTCCAATTGTTGTAGAGAAGGAGAAAGTGATTGGGATGCTTCCATGGACCTAGGAAGAAAATACTTCAAAAAAAAAAAAAAAAAAAGGGTAAGAACAACCTTAGACTAGGGTGTGTGGAATTGTTTGGCTAGTCTATGACTTAGGATGAACACCTTTAGAGGAAGAGCAATATGGATTCGTGAGTGACGAATAAAGGGTGAGACCCCTTGCTCCTGACCAAACCAGACTTGAAGGTCAAAATCACGTTAACTGAAGATGTAAACCTTTGTGAAGACCATCAAACAACCCTAGAGATCTAGACGATCACCACAACAACTTCGAAAGAAATTAAGGTATTACGTATGCCATTAGCAGACGATAGGTGTCTAGGAGCCTCCACGCCCCTTTCGCATCTTTGATCTTTTAAGAGTTTCAATTTTATCTTTTATGTATCAAACACTCTTATATCCTTCGAATTTGAATAGCCGAGGTCATTTTCACCAACCAGTGGCCACCACATGTCTCAAGGCTAGCGCGAGTTTACCTACCTTATGCGCGTGGCTTATTCACCTGTGAGAAGCCTCCTTGTGTGTGTGGACACATAACGGTACGTGAGTGACTCCTTTTTGCTTCATTCGACCTCCGTTTGTCAGTTTTTTGTTTCAATTTCAATACTAACCCTAATTTTTCTTTTCTTGAATTAGGTCCTACCAGAGAAATTTCATAAATTTTAGTAGCTTCTAACACGCGAAAAAGCTAGCTCGGGAAGGCATGTGTCATCCAAGTAAGTAACCACATGGATTCTAGGAAGTATTGTAGGGATCATCTAGATATGTATGCATGCTAGTATGACTAAACCCTGGGTTGATAGATTCGATATGATATAAACCTAGGACGATTGGATAAATATGAGATTAGTCTAACTAGTTGTTGGCATAACTGAATTTTTTCATGCGTGTTCAGATGGACTGTTTTCCTACTACTTGTACATAATTATGTTGAAATGGTGGATGAAAAATTGTGTATCTGCGCTCTAGGTGCTTGATGGATGTTTTCACCCCGTTGAGCATGCGTGACTATATATTAGTTACAGATGATTGAATGTGTGACTTCTCCCTGTAGAGAACAAGTAGTAGAAACAAATTAAAACTAGGGTGAAAGCGTCAGTTTAGCTATACTATGACCTAGGATGGGACGTCTCTAGTAGTTTGAGCGCAATTGAATCTTGAGTGACAATCAAAGGGTGTGGCTCTAGTGCTCCTAATCGATCCAGACTCAGGAAGTCGAAACTGAGAAACCTAGAGACGTGAATCTATTCCAAGACTGTCAAACCATCCTTGAGACCTAGAAGACCACCACGACAACCTTGGATGACAAAGGTAGCCTCGTAGGTCTATAACAGCTTGTACAATGTCTATAGAGCTTCCACTTTCCTTTCCACTCCAATACATTACCGTTGAGCTAGACTTGAGGCTAGTTAGAGATGTGTGACTTAATAGTGTTGTAATTGTTATGAAGATGAATTGTCACAATTCTCATTCATTTTGGTTATTAGACCGAAATGATTAATATTCTTATTTATTTTGATTATTAACTCTATTTTAGTTTGTAACCTTTTGGATTAGCATTCTCATTTATTTAGTTCATTTATGAGAATTAGTATTGTTATGCCTATATAAAGGCTTGTCTAGCATTGTTTTGAGCTATGAAGTCAAGTCAGGTAGAGTCATGTGAAGTCATTATTATTTTGTATTTGTCTAGAGGCAATTGGGACACTTTGTAGTATGAGAGTGAGAAATACACTTGTAAACATTTTGGTTATAATGATTGGCTACCACTCGTGGATGTAGAAAAATTTCTTCTCTCCGAACTACGTAAATTTGTGTCTGTGTAATTTCTGTTTGTGGATGTGTGAGAGCGATCGATCTTGATATATTGGTGTTTGTTTTTGTGGTGTCCAAATCAAGAACAAGCTACTTTCTTTGTCGACAAGTGGGTGCCACACTTCGACCATCAAATCAAAGGTGAAATGTATTCTTCGACGTATCAATGTTATCCTCACAGTTTTAAGATGCATCTATTAGGGAGATGTTTCCACACTCTTATAAGGAATGTTTCGTTCTTCTCTCTAACCCATATGGGACCTCACAATTCACTTCTCTTCAAGGCCAGCGTCTTCACTGTCCCACTACTTGGTGTCAGGCTATGATATCAACTGTAACAACCCAAACATACTGCTAATAGATGTTGTCTGTTTTAGCTCGTTACATATTATTGTCAGCCTTACGGTTTTAAAAACCCGTCTATTAGGAAGATGTTTCCACAACCTTATAAGAAATACTTCATTCCCCTCTTCAATAAATATGAGATCTCACATATTCACTTACAATAAAACACTGTATTAAAAAAATACTTTGATCACAATGTTCTTGACTTCGAAACGAAACGTACAACTGATAGCTGTGTGAAGAGAAAAATACTAACAATTCTTCTTCGAAAAATGCTTAACGATCAATAATTTCTCTTAGAAATGCTTAACGATTAATAACTTCTACTACAAATGCTCCATGATTAATAAATTGTTCAAAGACTAAATCATGCGTTAACAATGCAATGCACTTATAGTATACACATGTAATTATTTCTAATGCTTAATGTTCCGCTCTAAATTAGTCGAGCTTATTGACTCATACCAATGATGGACTCAACTTCTGAAGGAAAATGTAGCGGGTTGATGCTTCTCACTTCTCATATCTCATCGCCTGAAAATCAAATTTAAGAAGCGAGAATGCATCCACATTAAATTTTAATAAAAGGGCGTTCGATACATAAAAGATAAAACCGAATCGAAACATTCCAAGTAGTAAGAAAATAACAGGTACGTTGATATTACCTGTTGGATCACGTCTCGCCAGAAACATGCGTAAATGAGGATCTACAGGTAGTCCCATCGACTCATATGTTGGGTCATAAACTGCGTTTCTATTCTGTGGTGATCTGTTTCGAAACTTCAATTTTATCAAACTAAGACTATCAAAATAGTTAAATTACAAATTTAGTCCCTAAGTATGAGATTCCACGTTGGTTCGAGAGGGAAACAAATCATTCCTTATATAAGAGTCTAGAAACCTCATCGTAATTGAAATATTTTAAAACCATGAAGCTGAACGGCTATAGGTAACAAGCTAAAACAGACAGGGTTTGAGCCCTTAGTGATATTGTGTCTAATAGAGGTTTAAACTTGGGTTTAATAAATCTGAACTAAAATTAAGATAGGAAGTACCTTGAAGTTGGAGGGGTGGTAGCATTGCTCAAGCCATTGCCTTCAGAAATCCAATTCCTTGAGAGGTGAAGATTGGAAGGTGTTGGCAGCCCATCTTGCAGATTCAATCTTGTCTGCAATGAAGATAGATATATATATATCAAAGAAAATGTTATCTTCTAGAGAAAATTAAGAAACCCTTTTGAAAGTTGTGGTTCGAGCGATCTCGATTTATTCGATTAGTTGTTTTACGTTGTCGAAGAAGCTTATATTATGAGAATGACTCGATTTCGAGTAAAATTGAAGGTCATGAACCATAGCTAGTAATCATAGCTAAAATGTTTCGTAGAATTCTATGAGTAAGTGTTGGTCCGTGACTTGAACAATGAAGCTAATCGAGAGACGAACCTGAGGAAATTGGATGGTTGAGAGACCATTTGAGTAAAAGGTGCCATTTGATGGTCCTTGGTTTAGCAGTCCTTGAAATTGTATTTCTTCTGACCTGAAACAATGGATGAGATAAAAAGATGATAAAATTGGAGTACTTGTAACTACGATATGGTTCTTTTTTGAATTTTCATTTCAAGATTTCCTTCCAGGGTTTTTTAAAACGTGTATGTTAGAGAGAGATCTTCACACCCTAATAAGGAATGTGTCGTTCCCCCTTTTCAACCGATGTGAGATCACACAATCCACTCCCTTGGGGGCCCGCGTCTTTGTTGGCACACCGCTTGGTTTCTGGCTCTGATACCATTTGTAACAATCCAAGCCCACCTATAACAGATATTGTTCTTCTCTCAAAGTTTTTAAAATGTATCTTTTAAGTAGAGGTTTCCACACCTTTATAAGAAATGCTTCGTTCCGCTTTCCAATTGATCTGAGATCTCCCAATCCACCCTCTTGGGGGCCAACAAACGTT